AACCTCTCCACCACCATCCCCTTCCTCCCGCTCCTTCCCAGCATGAGCCCTGTGCTGAGCCTGGCGTCTGCCATGCTGCACTCACTCCTGCATGTGTCCACAGGCTGTCTTGCTGTTCTAAAAACGTATGTATGTTGTATGCAGCTGTCAGAGTTGTCCTGATTTAAAAGTAGTCAACATACGCCCATTATGAAAAATTCCAACCTTTATAGAAACTTCTGGGTGAGTAAGTCAAAAGTGTTCCATAATAATCACTTGAAGAAGTCCACTCTTCACAAAAAGGTGGACCATTTTCCAGCCCATGCTGCCAGGTTGCATGGAGGGAACCAAACGCTGGCTGAGCTGCTCAACAGAAGAATGCCTTCCAGGGACGAGTGAGCGAGGGATTTACTTATCACCATACCCTGTTCTCTAGGATAGTTTTTTTTTTTTATCTTGTTAAAAAAAGAAAAGAAAGGAATCTCAACAAATGTTACTAGGACTTTAAGTGGGTTTCAACAGGGAGACCCATCGCTGTCTACACCACAGAGCAGCTGACTGGTAGGGAGAGGAGCCTCTGGTAACTGAGCGCGCACAGGACAATCAGAGGAAGTGGACATATAAACTTCGCCATGTGAGGAAAGGTGGCTTTTCCATTTGCCTCTTTCTGAGCAGTTTAACTTCCTAATTACATGATCCAAATTGTTCCCGAGACTATGTAAACCATATGTTTGTTAAATGGTGGAAACAAACACGGGGAAGTCTGATTAGCATCAGCTTCCCTCAGGAAAGGGGTCAGTTCCCAGCCCGGCTGAGCTTGCTTTGTGCTTACTGGGCACGGGTGGCTGGCGGAGGCAGGGACGCGGTTTTAAAGCGCTGCGTCTGACTGTGGCTTCTCCCCTTTACCTTCTGCTTAAGCATGTATTTTAACAGTGACCCTGCTGTATTAACCTGAGAGACAGAGTAGGGGCTGGCTGACATTAGGAGAATGGATTTCATTCAGTATTTCGCGGATTCAGAGAGGAGAAAAATACTGTTTTGAACCTTTATGAGATTAAGCATGTAGGTGTATGTGCGTGTGTGTGAGTGTGTGTGTGTGTGTGTGTGTGTGTGAGCATGAACATTGTAGCAAGAGTGAGCTCCTCCTCAGTTTTATCCCATTGGGTTTGAAGAACAGCTGAAGATAATCAACATACTTGACAATGTTCAGCGAAATCAAGTTTTTTTCTATTAAATTCATTAAAGGAGTAGAGAAGTTGTAGACATTACTTATTACATAATGAAGCAGTTCACAGGTCTGCATAAAATCATGATGTTGGGTGACACTATTGAGTCAGTTAAAAAAAACAGCAAACTTGTTTCCTGCGTCGTATTTTGGATACAGAAGTCAAAACAGTGGGAACGTTCAGTGTTCAGGCAGATCCAGTGACCCAGATGTGCAGATGTGTGGAAACCGATACCTTGAGTGAACTCACGTAGCTGTAAATCAGGTCGGCGGCTGCTCTTCTTTGTCCCAGCTGGACGTGTGAGAGGACAACAGGCAGGAACTGGGTCGGACGGTCACCCTCGTTCCTGATGGCGCTGCAGTTGTCATGCCTTACGAGAACAGTGAAAAAACATTCTATTCACTTGTCTGCTTGTTCTGTCTCTAGTTACCCGCCGAAGACAAAGATTTAATGCATCACTGAAACACACTAGCTGGTATTGTTTGTATTCAGGCAAATACTGGGGGAAACATGAACTCTGAAAATTAAGAGAAAAAAAAGACTTACCTTGTTTATTCATATTCATTTAGTTTCCTGTGAACCCTTGGTCTTGAATTCCACTGGGGTAATAGAAGTGAAAACCACTTTATGGTGAAGACTTTTTGAATATGAGTCATCTTGAGTGATGGCTCTATAGCGTGTAGATTTCTTTGCCTTTTATTTCTTTGGGAATACAGAGAATGCGTATGCAGTGTCACTGCTGAGAGCACTGCCTAACTACCTCATGTGCACAACATTTGGGAGCCTGGATTTCTCTGGCTGAAGCAGAATTATTTTTAACTGGAAATGGGTAACTTTAACTTAAAGTTTAACTTTAAGTTAAACTTGTGAGTTGGATCAAAAGAGTAACTTGGAGGTGCAGACGGAGGACAGTAACAAGGAGGTCCTCATTCACCTGGTTTTCCCTCTTGTTCTTGATGCTGAGGTTTTGCTTTTTTTTGGTTTTATCCTGAGTCCTGGGCTATTACATCTCTGTCTGAGATATCTAGACACTGTTAAAATCTTCACCTCTGTATGGTCTGGCCACTCAGGATGGCTGTCCTCTTGCTCTCTACACGGCCCCTGCTGGACCAGTCCCTGCTTCACTTCGTCTTACTCACATGAGCGTGCTCACCTCCTGCCCCAGCTGGTGACTGTTCTCGTCCTTAGGCCAGAACGGCTCCACCTGCTAGTTTACTAAAGGGAAACATCTGCCCTCATGATGGTTGTTAACCTGAGGGGCTGTGAGGGATGTGCCCCAGCTGCTGGTTTCCCGGATAAGACACGAGCCTGCCTGATGTCATTTCCCCCTATGAACAGCGCCTCCTTCTCGCCTTAGCACCAAAGACTGCTGTCGTGTCCTGCCTGCCGGCTGCAGTCCATGCTGGAGTGTTGCTCCTGGACCCTTCTGAATGCTTGAGACCCCCTTGCCAATAAACCACTGACGTCTCTGGGCTCTCTCTTGGGGCTCGAGGCCGGGCAGCTACAAGACTTGCAGGCCTGTGAGGTGCAGCCCAGTACTTGCTCTGTCAAACTCTGACTGCTTAGTTTCTGGTAAACATGGTCTTTTAAAAATATAACATTACTTGTTTGTAAAGGGTATTACCCTGCTTCCTCCTTTTGTAAAAATCTCATGGACTTTGAGCCTTATTTGATATGAGATATATTTTATATATTCTGAATGCAGTTGTGCTGGCCTGTAGGCAGTCTCAGGAGAGCTTTGGAGATGCTCTTGCCATGAGAACTTTCAGTTAATACAGATTATTACCCTAGCAACAAATAGCCTTGACCAAAAGGCAGTATTTTGCTTTTATAGATAATATAACTGTGTCCCGGTTTGGGGAGGTGGAGGGGGGAATCTGTCAAACTAAATTTTTAAAAAGATTATATAAAGTTTTTAAAAGAGTTACAAGGGAGTGGTTGACAGGCAGATGCCACCACTGAATTTGAAAAAAGTCTAATAAATCTTGAGTAAAATGGCCTATTCTGAAATTCCTAGTAGAAGTGAGCACAAGGATTTTTCTTTTCTCTTTGCTGCCCTGAGATCATACATTTGCATTATTATCAAGTAAGGTAATTATCCAGTACTGTTCCTAGAATACGTTAGAATGTATTGCATGGTCATTTCTTTATCCAGTGGTTATTACTGAGCTCTGCCATGTTCAGCTGTGAGGGTGCAGATGCAGAATAGAGGGGAGCTGCGTCTAACCAGGGATGGGATTTGCCAAGAGGAGTTATGTGTGCAAGGAGTGATTATTACTAGGTGTCAACAAATTCAAGTTGGATAATTTAATAAGCATGAATGAGAGACATGAAGGGTTTAAGAGTGGGGAGACAGGTGGTGGAGTCCGTGGGTTGTAGGAATGGGGGTTAACGTTGTTGGGGTTGAGATTTAGGAGAGGTGAGTCGGACAGACTGGCGGTGCTGGTTAGATGGTGGTGTTTGACGAGGATTACAGGCAGGTGGTGACGATGAGGTCAGTCACCGGAGAAGAGGGAGGTCAAGGAACTGAGAGGCCGGGTAATGGAAGGATCTGCTACGTGGAAATTCAAGAAAGTAGTAGTGCTGGAGACAGTAAGCCAGCAGCTAAACTCGTGAGTGAGGATAAGGCAGGATCCAGGGGTCTGGAGCTGACTGTGATGGTGGCCTGGAGACTGATGGCATCATTTCTAGCTGAGGACTGTCTGGGAGGAGGAAGCGATCACTGTCTGGAAGAAGTAATGAGACTCAAGCAGGCAGAGAGCCTTTAGCAGAGGCTGTGTTCTCTAGGAAGAGCCAAGTTTCTGTTAAGGCAAAAAGGTTTAAAGGGAGAATTTGGAGATGAGAATGTGGATTTAGAAGAGTTTGCTGGATTCCCTTAGCGAGGTGCGTTTCTGGAGGATGCAGTGGAAGGACTCAGCACCCAGCCGAGGGGCTCAGGGAGATGGGGCCGGATCAGGCTCGCTCACAGTGCTATGGGGTGAGCGTGCCTCCAAGGGAAGGAAGAATACCCGGGGGTCTTGGGCGGAAGCAGGGGAAGAGGGCCTGGCGGGGTCAGTCCTGGTGGTTTCAGAAGCAGGTGGTGAGGCTGTGCCCGCGGGAAAGAAGGGTGGGGTGGGCACCTTGCCAGAAGCACGCAGACCTCCGGGGCTCTTCTCCCCTCTTGGGTCTGGTGGTTCGGAGGCTGGGAGTGCAGCCTCATCACCCAGAGTGTGAGGAGGTTTGAGATGCCCTCTTTACCCTGCGGACAGAGGTAAGACTGGGGAAGTGTAACTGTCCTGGCGTTACCACAATGCGTGCGTGTCTCACTTGTAACAATCCCAGGATGATGTAAGATGAAACCTAGAGGGTTTAATCATTGTTTTTAATATTGCTTTTATACTTAAGATACAACTTAGTGTATCACGGAAGAACAGTAATTAATAGGTTTAATTTTGGAGGGTTATATTGATTCATAATCAGATATAATTCAAAATCCAATTCCTATTTTATTTATTTTTAAAGACTTTTTTTGGAGGGGGGAAGGTAATTAGGTTTATTTTATTTTTACTTCTTTATTATTTTATTTGTTTATTTTAACAGAGGTACTGGGAATTGAACACAGGACCTCTTGAATGCTAAGCACACACTCTACCACTGAGCTACACCCTCCCCTCTCCAATTCCTGTTTTAAAATAAATCACTCCCTCCCTGTCCTCCTTCCCTTCCCCACCACTTTCCCCAGAAATGTGACTTGAAAAATGACAGTGTCACAGCCTTGTTCCCTGAATTACACGTGTTCTTCCCTTCTCTTTACAGTGAAGAAAGTTACAATGTCAATGATTATTCTTTAAGAGATCAGCTACTGGTGGAGTCTTGTGACAGTTGGGAGCTTAATTCTTCTCCAGGGAAGAACAGTTCGACGATGCTGTATTCCAGACAGAACTCTGCCATTCACCTCTTCACGCTGACAGTCCTTAGTAACCACGCGAACGAGAGAGTGGAGATGCTGCTGGGAGCTGAGACGCAGTAAGTAATGCCAGGAGAGGTTTCAGAATCTCTGCTCTGGGGCTTCCCTACCCAATTACCCGTGGTCCACAGACTCCCTGAAAGCTGGAAACAGTACCTCCTACTTATTTCTTTGTTGAATGCCTGTTACGCACCAAACAGAGTTGGGTGCTTTATACTGATGCTCGTCTTTTCCTTGTGATGCTCTCAAGTCCTGAGAGGTGGACAGTGTTACTTTTGTCCCCATGAATCCTGATGGATGCACTGGACTTCAGGTAGTGTGGTTTGATGTTTAAAAGTGGCTTAAACATCATTTCATTTTAATCATTGATAAACATAGGACCCAGGAGCCCTAGGAATATGACTTACTGCTAGTTTGATTCTAGGCCGTAAGTTTTCTCAGCCATGGAGTTGAAGTCATTTTTCAGTCGCCTACCGTCAACCAGACAGCAAAGAGCCCGGTGACTTCTGTCCAGAGATCCTCAGTTTGGGGACACATGTTGGTGAATCCTCTTTCCCATCAAGCGCTTATGCAGACGCAGAACAGTCATCGTGTCTGTACTGCAAACCAGCAGTTAGTTCGCAGTCTGCCTCACAGGCAATGAACGGAAGGGGGCTTAAATTTCAAGGCCACCCTCCCGATTTTGTTGACTTAAAGATGGTTGACCAACTTGTTTGGAAACCAGAAACCTGCTCTTAGAACACTTACCACAGGCAGGTGTTATGGTGGGTCAGAGGGTGGGCAGTGGAGGGAAAGAAGTTCCCTAATTCCTGGTCCTCTGAGGCTCCTACGCCATCTCCCTCCTATGTCCCCGTGCTTCCCACAGGGTGTGATTAAAACAGATCAGCCGCTGGTCAGTAACAACTCTCAGACTGCAACAAAATCCTAGCAAAAGTCAACATGAAGAGAGGATCTTCACTTTTTTAAGAGTATTTTAACAGGGTCCCTGGATCATTGAAGAGAGACATGAAAAAAGGCACCACATAAAACTAAATGGTTGGTTCATGTTTTGGGCCACTAGAAGTAGCTTTTCAAAGGGGTGAAGAAAACCTAGAGGGCTGGTGGATAGAAAGCTATTTGAGATTTAAAAACAGCCAAAAGGGAGTATTCCAAATGCATGTGAGAGCTCACTGATGGAATGAAGAAAAGGAGTGTCATCCTATGTGTCCGTTTGTAAAACAAAGAAATGCCTCTTCCTCAGGTCCCAGAATTCTTCTAGAAAGCTGATGGGAAGCCCTGCCACATTCCAAGGATGCTCCTCCGTGTTTGCCCCGGGGAGGGCACCTTAGGGGGAGGAGTGGTCTGTGCAGGAGACACACCCAGGACCAGGGCTGAGGAAGGCATTTCTTCGGCTCTAAAGATGATTAAACCCCTTGGCTGTGAAGACGGATGGACTTCCTCTGTTTGGGGAAGCCACTATTGAAAAAGAGAACTGAGTGTCTGAGCTTTGGATCTTAAAGGATTTTAAGGATGAAAAAGTCTTAAACACTTTGGAGATTAGCACTTGCCCAGACGTTCGAGACAATTCTCAGAAAGAGATTTTCTTTTGTCCTTGTTAGTAAGGGAGAAAGTGTTGTTGGTTTCACTTTGTGTTTTCTTTTTCTCGGTGTTTATCGGGATTGTTTGTTCTTTAAAACATATCAGCGTAACTTTTCCTGACTGTCTCATCCATGATTTATGTAATCTCTGCCGCTGGTTTCCGAGATTATTCCAGGAGAGTAGGCAGTAAGCCGGCAGGTCCAGCTCTTTCTACACTGAGGCTCCATCTGTCTTCCTGGGACGTTCTGTAGCCTTTGTTCCACCCTCTTGTCGTTTGATCTTGCGTGGACTGAATGCATGTTCATTTCCTCAGTCAGACACGTTCTCAGAATGTCTGGTTATGTCACCCATAAACCCGTAGGGATGACTCATATTTGTCGTTCTTTAATTAATAGCAAGAGAACATTCCAGAAGGGGCAGAGGGGCATCTGTCTCGGGTATGGAAGGAGTGACTCTGTCACTCCCCTCCCCACCACTAACTTAGTTACAGTCGGAAAGGAAATAAATGGACAAATACTTTTAAACATACAAGGCATAAGATATCACTGGTGTTGAAAGAAAATACATGACAGCCAAGATGCACTTTGCTCAAAGAAAAAACTGAGCTGTTTAAAAGTCGAGCAGATTGTTCTGTGCTGTATTTGGAAATGCGCAGGTCAGCTCTGGGCTACCTGGTTTTGAGTAATCAGTTTTGGTCCAGGTAGAATGTTTTCTTTGCTTCTGAGATTTGCACAATGTATAGGTGACTTTTTTAGCTTTTCTCTCTTTCATGGTTTATGTGGTTAAAATGGTCCGCTAGCAATCTAGTTGAGAAAACAAGGTTTTTGACCATCACTCTGGCCTTGAGTAATTGCAGAATCTCAGACCAGTGGCGTACATTCTTTGGCTACTTTTTTAGTGTGAAAAAGAGTGGGGTTCAAAGCTAAATATTTACCTTGTTTGAAAACGTGTTCTTAGCAGAGGCCACGTGGGGATACACGGAATGGAAAATCAGCAGTAGGAAGAGTGTGGCTGTGTGCGCAGACATGCAGCATCACAGGGCAGTGAAACTGGAAGAGCAGAGCGGTAGCTCTGATCACATCAGTGATGCAGGGACACTCACCAAAATGAAATGGGGCAAATGCTTTGTGAGCCTCTGGGACTTGCCAGGCACTGAGCCAGCTACAGAACCTGAGGGAGGGACCCTGGGTGTGTCCCCAGGCAGATAAGGTGACTGTGCACCTTGGTTTCTTCGGGATCAATGTTGTATTTGTTGTTCTGTCAAAATAAGAACAGCACCTACAACTGTGACTCTCCAAAGCGTCCTGAGACAGTGATGTATGTGTATGACCCTAATCGGAGTGTGTGGTCCATCCACTCCCTCGGTTTTTCCCCAGATGTGAGACGAGACTCACAGAAGTGAAGTGATTTGCCTAAAGTCACACAGGAAGTGAGTTACTGACAAAGGTGGGACTAAACTTGACCTTCCTGAATCCAGTGTTCTAACACCAAATTTTAGAGCTTCTTACCGAGAAGCTGCCAGCCAGGGGACTGTTCCACCCGTACCCTGCTGCTCAGCTTGGCCTGTTCTGGCTCTGGAAGGGAAACTCCAGGAAGCCACTTGCTATTAAATGTGAGAAACTACTAAAACATGCAGGTTTTTTTTTTTTTTGAGTCCACAGACTAAGTATCTGGGGGTGATATTTAGGGCATCATATGGTTTCAAAGATTTTATAACAGAATAGGTGAACAGATGTTGCATCCCCCAAATTATTTTCCACTTGAAACTTCCTTATTTTTTGCGCCTGTGCCTGTGTTTTTCCCACTGCCTGGAATGCCATTCTCAGAACTCCTTGAATTACCAAATGTCTCATTCTCAAGAGCTCTCGCCGTCTTTCCTCTGCAAGGAAACCCCTCGGTGCTGCTCCTTGTGATCTTGCCCCTGAGAATTCCGAGTGTCTGCTGTGTGAACCACTCCTGTTAGTTCACTTTTCTCCCCACGTTTGCTGTCTCGCCTGCCCTCTGCTGCGCTGCTCCGAGCCCCCTCCACCTCTAAGTCTCTCCTTCCCTTTACAGCTGCCCTTCTCGAGAGAGTAGCTTTCACGTCTCCCTGTTAACTCAGTGAATTCTAGTTGAGCACTTGTATCCTTTCAGGTGCTGTTCTAAGTGCTGGGATGTGGCAGTGGACAGACAGTAGAGACTGGGTCCCGCCCTCTGGGGGCTTCTGTTCCAGGGAATAACTTATGTCTGTGTGCCCACAGTGAGCTGGGACATGGGAAAGCATTTCTTCATCCAATTTTAAAAGTAAGTGCAGTGGAGACAGTAAAGCCAGGTGATGTACTCACAGTGAACGTTAAGTCCTAGAGGTGGGGATACGTTCTCTGAATTAGCTGGGGCAGGAAGACTTCTCTGAGGTTACATTTGTACTGAGCCCTGAGTGACTGGAAGGAGTCCACCTGTGAAAAAGTGCGGGCAGTGGTCCAGGCAGAGGGCACAAGCGCTAAACTCCTAGGGAAACGAGTTCAAGGCCGTCAAACTTGGCTTGAGCATAGTGAGACTGCCTACGTCAGAACAAGCCAGGGAGAGGGTATGTGATGGAGGGGCTGATGGAGCCAGAGTGTTTCTGCAGAGCTATTCCAGTGTGGTCTGTGGGCTGCCAGTCCTCAACCGTTACTGGCTTGGTTTGAGGAACACAGTTAAAAATATATAGCAATTTGACATTTCTGCAGCACCAAAGCATGTGACTGTTTTAACAGTCACTCATTTTTATTTTATTTCTGAGTATACTTGGTCCACAGTGGACTGGAGCAGGGGTCGGGGGGTGATGAGGACCAGTTCTTCACCCCAGATAGTTTGAGAAGCACAGGTTTAGAGCCTCACAAGCCAGAGTGGGGAGTTCCATGGAAGACTGGTGTGGAGGCAGGAAGTTTCAGTGGGGAAGGCAGTTAGGGTCCTGTTGCATCAGTCCAGGGGCATCCTGATGGTGGCATGGGCTGTGGTCTACTGGAGGAAACATTACATTGTGGAGGCAGAGACAGTAAGACCAACTTACGGATTGGATGAGTTGAGGTGGCTGTGGGTGAGAGAAAAGAATCGATGATGCTTTGGGTTTTTGGCTTGAGCAGTGGACGCCGTCTGTCGAGGTCTTCCTTTACTGTCTTCAGTATGGCTTCTTCCTCTGCCACCCAGTGGAGGGCGCTCTGTCAGAAGATGGGCAGTGGCTTCCTGGGTACCGTACCCTGCTGTCTGGTCTTCCTGTTTTTACCTCTAATGTCGTTTAATTTTCTCGGCCATCCAGCTCTCTCAGGCTAACTAACCCCCTTTGGAGATTTCATCTGTGTGCTCTTCATTTTGCTCTCACGTGGAACCATTCCTCTTCACTGTCCCTTCAGAAATGCAGCCTGCCTGGAACCAGTCATCACCATGACCCGCGCATTTCTGTAAATGGTACCCTTGGTGCTATTTCAAGTTATCCAGTCTGGAGAATTGGTGTCATTTCCAA